TCTCTCTCTCTCTCTCTCTCTCTCTCTCTCTCTCTCTCTCTCTCTCTGTCCGTCCGTCCGTCCGTCCGTCCGTCCGTCCGTCCGTCCGTCCGTCCGTCTGTCTGTCTGTCTTTCCATCTATCTATCAGTACTAATGAGCTAACGGCTAGTCTGAATGCAGCTGATTCTAAAATATATAAATTATAAAATTGGTATTTTAAAAAAAGGAAAATTTAAAGGTTTAAATATTAGCATTTGCATGAATCCCTGAAATTTTGATACTGGAGTTATTTTAAGATGACAGCAATCCACTTCGCTCATCAAATCTGGTCAGAATTACTCTCGGTTTTAACAAACTGAGTCTGTTCAAAGACCTATTTACAACAGGTAAGATATTTGCTGTTCGTAACATTTCCACAGGTCCCCATTTCAAAATAGAAGTATTTACCCTTCCTGAACTTTCATTGTTTGCTGAAAGATGCCCAAAAAGTAGAAAAACGCTCAGTTTATTTTTGATTCAGATTTGTTCTTTATTTATTTATTGTTTTTCAGTAAATTCTTCCAAATAAATCGGCAGCTGCCAAATTAGTTTTGCAGAAAGGGAATGATCGTTTTATCTGACTTGTTATGAACATGACCTGCAGTATCAAAAAAGGCAAAATGAATATCCCACAAAATAGTTCTGAAATATATGATCTCAGATTTTTCCCAGCAGTCTGTGTAAAGGTGAGTTATGTTTTCTCATGTTTTACACCCACACAGCGCCTGGTGGAACACATCTGTAGGAGATGCAACCTGGTAAATAGTTTCTGCACGCTCCATTTAATGACTTTGACTCAAACTGTCCAGATGGCTCTAATTTAAACAAATGTTTTTAGGCTTTTTATTTTAAATATTAAAGCTCTGATTGACGTCTCAAAATGTAACGATCTGAATCCAAATGGCAGCTCTTTCCATGGAACTAAATGAACTTGATGGTCAGTGTTGTTCCATTAAAATGTAATAAAACATTCAGACATTTTTTCTTCTACCTGTAACCATTCCTTTGACAGGCGGACTTGACCCTTTAAATATTTTAAATGTCAATTTTTGTTCAAATAAGTTCAGATCTCAGTTCTCTCAATATTCTATTTTTCAAGAACAAAGTTGAACCCAAGTACAAAAATGTAACGTGTGTACTTGTACAGTGAAAGTTTAAACGACTAATACAAGATTTAATAACAAAATAATAATTTTCAATTTTAATCACCTTTAAAAAAATTACCTTGAATTTATTTATCACTTAAAATGTCTAGAATGCAAATTATGAAATGAAAACAGTAACAGTTTTGTTTGTTTGTTTGTTTGTTTTTTGGGTGGGGGGTGGGCGGTCGGGGTTACGTTATTCTTCCTGTACTAAAATCTTTTTTTAAGAGAAATTCATTGCAGCAGACCTGTTCTTTTAACCTCCACAGACAGTGTTGAACTAAGTCCGACTTGTTACTCATAAGAGCCTAACTGTAATGATCTCAATTACTCATTAGACAGATGAACACTTTTAACGCTAGTCCCTCATTTAAAAATACTCCATGTGTTATTTGGCAGTGCTGCAAGCTTTACAAAACATTTGGTTACATCTGGTACATTTTTCTATAAAATATTTGCTTCCTCAGTTTGAACACTCTGAGCATGCTTGTGTGTTTCTTTATGTGTCAAGTCGGTGTTTTTTCATGTGGCTGACAGTGAAGCAGAATAAATACAAACAGACCAGAAAGGTGCTCAAGTGGAATGGCTGGACCGGTTGCTAATAAATCCGTAGGCCTGCTGCAATAAACAATTTAAAAAATAATAATAATAATTGAGCGATGATGATAAGTTCATTGAAACACTTCACAATGTTTTTACACTTAAACTGAGCTCAAAGAGAAAAAAAAAAAAAGATAAATAAATAAAGAAAGAAAGAAATAAACAATAAATCAATTAATCGCATGATAAATTTAAATTATCGACCTCGTTCTATGTCGTATAAGCTTCGCCCTTTAAGGCCTTCGCTTTAGTGGGTTTATCCCGTTATGCAGAGCATAAGCACTGAAAAAATTAGTCCACGCCCACCTGCTGTGTGGGCCCCACCCGGTCCGTATAAATTACGTTAAGAGCGGGAAATCGGCTCCCATTTTTTCTTCAGCGAGCTAATATAGCACTGTCAGAAGAACAAAGAAGATAAATTGTGTAAATGACCAACCTTTGCGAAAGATGCTTGGCCCGGCAGTCGACCTCCGGTCGTCCGGTGAGTTCTCCTCCCCGAGGAGAAGATGACAGCAGTCTTATTCCAAGGTAAGCGTCGTGGAACATTTCCCAGTGACAGGTCACTACACGCTGGACAACGCCATCTTGTGGTTTTCCTCTTATCGCCGACCCTCGGGGCGAACCGGATGGTTCCTCCGGGGCAAGGCGTGCTCAGCTGCAGCCCCGCTGCTCTTTCCCTCCTGGGGAGCGTAGTGTAGGTGGAGGGGGGCTGAGTGAATGCTCACCCCATCCCACCTCGTTTCGCATCGGCGATCACACCGCTCCCGGCCGACGGCGCCCTCAGGGGTTGCCCGGCGGAACCCAGGAGGAGGCTGACATGAAGGGACCCCCTTTTTTTCTACGTCCCTCGCCTTTTCCCGCCAGTTCGGATGATCGGCGGAAAGGTTATTTTTCACTGGGCTCCACTGTGGCTCACCGTCTTGATCCATACGGCCTCACGTTCCAACAGGACGTTCCACGGGCGAGGCCGCAGACGGTTCTTTCCTGGTAGATTAGAGGAGTCGGTCCCCAGTCCGCTCCCATCACCAGAGTTGAGGGATTCACCGAGCGGGGCTATTCCTCGGTAACCTCGTTTTCATTTATCGCCTTTATCGTTTCTTTGTGTCTCTCTCTTTTTCTACTGAAGACACCGGATAACAAAAGGCTCAACTCCGGTGCTCTTCACTGACCCCTCCCTTTCTCTTTTCTCTTTAAAATCCATTTTAACCATCCAAAATCATGTTTTTGGATGGTTAAAAGCAGCTAAGCTGAGAAGCTAAGCTACGAGTTAAGCTAACAGGCAGACCTCGGGAATAAACCTCAGTTTTCCCAAATTTGCTGTTGAAACCCATGCCTTCGTGTAAAAAGTTGTTTTTCTCTGCAAAAAGAAGCTGAGAACTTGTTTACTGAGTTATTTAATTAAAAGCGTTGTGTGACAAATGCTGTGCTAAAGAGCTCAAACCACACACTCTGCAATTTTGAGAACCGAAAAACAGGAACAAGAGACAGCCCATGTCATGTCAAGGGGCCTCCTTCCCATTTTTCTTGAACAGACATGCTGCTTGCTCCCTCACTAGCCATCCTTCGGTTCAAACAGTATACACTGCCATCTGGTGGTCAAAAAAGGTACTACACACAAAAAATAACCAACATTTCTTCTTAAATTTGACAATAATTACTAATTATTGGTTTGTTTGATTTTTCATTTACCCTTTATTTATACAGGTATTCTCATTGAGTCACGAAAACTCATTTTCAAGAGAGACCTGTTTTTGGGAGCAAATGGTGGAGGTTAAGGGCCTTGCTCAGGGGAGCAGAGTGGAGCAAACGAGGGTGGAGACAGGTGTGGGTATTTCACCTTTTTCCACCCACATTTTGATGTTGATGGTACCAGGAGTTTGAACCTGCGACTTTCCAATCATAGTAGGGGAGTAGTGATGCAAGGTTAGAAAAGATGGGCATCTTTTCTAACCTTGCGCCACTACTCCCCTACTAATTATTGTTAAATTTCAAACAATATTATTGTTTATCCCAATAATTTCTGAGACAATTAATCATCCAGCAAAATTTGTTATAATGACAGGCCTATAAATCTGTAGTGTTTTGTTTGAACCTATGTCCAAACATGTGACTGTTACAGTGTCTGGGAATATTATAAAGACAATGAGAGTACACCTGAATGCAGCATGAACCGATATCCTTAAAATAAACACATTAGACTCATCATTCATTAGAACTGAAGTCATCTAATGTGAGAAGTGTAATTGAGAATCTCAGCCTTATTGAACTTTTGGTCAAGGTTTATGAATTGTTTTAACTACTATGACTGAGAATGTTAACTGCCCATGGGCCCATATGTTTGAATTAGCAGAGGATGAGGAGCTGATTTGATACCGCAGGCGCAGTTCAAGGTTGCCTCAGAGTCAGAGCTTGGAGGAGCTGATAAGCATATAAAAACAAGCCTCGCACACTGCCCGTGGCAGATTCTCGTGACGGGGCTCCATGCGTATACTTCTGTATATCTGTGTAACCTGTTGTGAAAATCTGTCCTTGCAAGTAAAACTGATTAATAATCTTCTTCTGTCATCTGTCATCCAGTGTGGCTTCTTTTGAGTAAGTAAGATGAATAGACGCTATTTTTATCCAACAATTTGGTCCTTCAAGTGCCGGCCCCAACGTCTGACCTTGAACCGCCATCTGAACCGTGCACAGGGGGAGATTTAATCTCCTTAACTGAAAGTCCTCAGGCTGGAATTGCTGAACTTTAGTGAGGCCAGCTGAACTGGATTTGCTTTATGCTGTTTGACCACTTTCATGGAGAGATTTGCCAAGTTTCTGCTTTTCAAAGAATAATACTGCTCTATCAAAAAAAAAAAAAAAAAAAGGAATTGTAAGCATAAAAGTTTAAATGTATATGTGGCTATTTTGCACACCAGTTAACGTCGCTTTTCTGTTTCTGCTCAAATTCCAGCAGGGGAAAGACAGTTTTCTGGATATCCTCCACAGGTACATGGAGGTCCATGGCACAGTGTACTACGAGACCCAGAGACCTCCAGAGGTCCCGCCCTTTGTAAAGAACCACGGCCTGCTGCCCCAACATGAGCTGCAGCAGCTGCTCCGCAAAGCCAAGGTAGGAGAGTCAGGAGGTCATTTCCTAAATTTAAATCTCTTCTGCTGGGTTCTCATCACTTGTACCATCCACACAGAATTCTGTTTGTCAGAAATATAGACTCATCACATCACAGTAACTATCCTGAACTGAGCGCTATATTTACAAAATCATGTTTTGTTTTTATTGTATTTTTGTTTCTCCAGCTCTTCATTGGTTTTGGGTTCCCGTATGAAGGCCCAGCTCCGCTCGAAGCTATAGCCAACGGCTGTATTTTTCTGCAGCCGAAGTTCCAGCCCCCCCACAGCTCATTAAACCATGAATTCTTCAGAGGCAAGCCCACATCTCGAGAGGTAAAAGCATCTTTAGTCGTTTCCATTAACACTCTGAGCTTATGTATGATGAGCACCAAACGTTTCAGATGAAGTAGCATACAGCCTGTTTGGAAAATAAAAATAAAAATGGACTTGAATGTGGCACTAAAGGTGTCATATGTTAAGACCTCACATTAACTTGCATTCTTTTGCACAAACAAATTTATGTAATAAACACTGAAAGCATCCAGCTTTAATGAGCAGAGAAGCTGAGCTTAAGGTGAATTAATTAAAAAGTTTAAAACACTTACAGAATTTAACAAGGTTGAATCAGGTCCTCTGGACAGATTCTTCTTATTGAAATGTTTTGTCTTTTATCCAAAAAAACCTTCAGTCTGAGGAACTGCAACAAACTCAGTCTTATAAGCAGCATCTTCTCATAGTGGATGAGCCAGTTTGCTGCAGACAGCCAGAACTAGCTGTTCACATGTAAAAGGAGGACCATTAACCTAACAACTAGGGATGGGGCCAATCCGATCCGGTATTGGTATCGGGCTCCGATACCAGCATAATTTACGTATCGGATTTTTCCGATCCAACCTGCAGAGATTTCTGATCCATGATGCATGTCTGTGTCTGATGAAACGTCTCCTCGTGTCTCCTCCAGCTGCTCTGCACGTTGGCTTCAAACTATGGAATGGATTTCCTGAACGGAGGCATGTCTCATGAACCCAGAGTAATAAGACCCGCCTCAAATTCAGGAAATCCATTTCATAGTTTGCAGCGTGCAGTAGCACTGTGGCTAACGGCTAAACAACTTTTCATCGAACCATGTTCGCTGTGTGGAAGTATTTTAAACTAGAAACACCACAAAGCAACACAGCAAGGCGCAATGTCTGCAGAGCCATAGCGCCACATTAAACCGCAGTAAAGTTAGTTTTATGTTGGACGTTCGAGCTCCGTGCTTCAGCGGTGTGCTCCTCTCGCTCAACTTCAAGCAGGCAGCCTCGACCATGGCCAGCCGCGTCCAATCTGCCCCACTCAGTCTGCCTGTCTCATAGGAGGGCAGACTGAGCGCGGCTGACCAAAATCAGACTGTCTGCTGTGGATTGGACAAGAAGAAGACATTGCGGAAGCCCCAGAGCTCGAATGTTTACTGAGAAGTTGCTAAACTTCATCGTAATTAATGACCAACCACTATCAGTTGTAGAAAATGAAGGATTTCACAGTTTCATACTTGAAGTCAAGATATAGTTTACCCTCCAGGAGATATTTATCAGTACAACATTAGACAATCATAAAAAAAGCATATGAATTGAAAATGACAAGAAAATTATATATAAAAAAACTAAACAAAAACAGCAAAATTATAAAGCGATGTAAAATGTTAAAAACAGGAACATGTCTGTCTTAATTTATGCTATGAACTTAGCAGATGTTTAAAGCCATTTAACTTTTAATTTAATTTTATTCATTTATTTAAAAGAAACAAAATAAACAAAACCATTAAAAGAAAAACATTGAATGAAAAGAGTGCAGAAAGAAGAAAAAAATTATTATATCTGACCCTTATTTAAAAAAATAAAATAACTTTAAGCAAACAATCACTTAAATGAATCACCTTAATATCCACTTTAAAACTAGGAATAAAAAAACATGTTTTTTGTTAGAATTTAATTCTGACTTTGAAACTTATCCAACATTAATAAAACTTACTTGCCTTTTTGGACATGCATGCATATATTTGTACAACTTGCACTTAGAGAGGAGATTTTTACAGCCTCATATAAAATCAATAATGATGATGATATGGGAAAGGTATCGGTATTGGCCGATATCCAGATTTGGGGATCGGGATCAGATCAGAAGTAAAAAAAATGTGGATCGGTGCATCCCCACTAACAACAGATCGTTAGTTCCATGATGGCTGTTTGCAAATTCACAGAGAGCCGAGTGATTCTATCAATAACAGCATTGTAAGAGGAAACATTTCAACAAAGAAGAGTCCGTCCAGAGGACCTGACTCCACCTTGTTAGATTGATCCATTATTGTATTATTATATCTATTATAATTGATAGATCATTGAGCAGCATCAGGACATTCTTACAGAATGTTTTTTTATTGGTTTATCCTGAAGGTTTTCTCCCAGCACCCATATGCAGAGCAGTACATAGGCAAGCCACACGTCATGACGGTGGACTACAACAACTCTCTTGAGTTTGACGCTGCAATTAAAGAAATCATGAGGACAAAGGTACTCACACACACACTTATAGGAAAGAACCTCGTTCAACCTTTATTTATACAGGTTAGTCTCAATGAGTCACGAGGACTCATTTACAAGAGAGATCCATTTGGAAACAGTTTTGAAATGAAATAGTCTACCATTCATTCAACCTTTATTTATACAGGTTAATCCCATTGAGCCTAGGGGAAATGGAAAATTCCTGGAGAATTTGAAATTTTGAAGGCTGTCAATAGAGATACTGCCCAAATTTCCCAGATCTATCAAGGGTTCTCCTCTGAAGCCAAATCTTATTTTTGTTGTAATAATCTAAAGTGAGAAAATGTTACATTTTGGTGTAAAAACTGTAAGAGAAGTGTAAAGAGAGCCAGGTTTGAAAGAAGTGTTGAAGCTGCTGCAAGAGGCTTATTCAGCTCATCATGGTAACACCACACTGGGCCTCTCACTCTGTGACAGCACTCATAATAAGACAGGCAAACAGAAATGCACAGAGCAGGCAATCACTGTGCAAAACTCAACAAGTCCAATAGAAAAAGTTTGAACCATAAATATGCACACAAATCTTTTTTTTGTTGTTTTGTTTGTTTCTACGGTGTTTGATGGGAAATATGTCAAATTAAATTAAAAACATTCAAGTTTATAGAAGAAACCCTGGGCTCAGATATAATGGAAGTCAGTGAGAGTTTGAATGTGAACCTCTTTAATCTGGGAGGATTTAATACAGCACAGAGAAACACATTGTGTGAAAGAAGGAAAACGTCTGTTTTGACGTGTGAGTATATAAAAAGTGTAACATTTGTAAGATAAGTTTTTTAAATGATTTAAAAATGTTTAATAGCTCAAAATTCAGTGTGTAACATCACAATCTAGAAACTCTTCAAACATATAGAACCTAAACAGTGATTGTAAAAACAACAACAAAAAAACTTTAAAATATATCTAACTTTCTTTGACCAGTTTAAACTTTGAATAATGTTTCTACTGTGATGTATGTCTGTACCGCACAGCTAAAAAAATGGCTCATTTGTCTAATTTCACCAAAATCCCATTAATAAAGTGTAAAATTTGACAACTAAACACACATTTCATCAACACTACAATGTAGCTACCAAAATGCAAACACTGTTCCCAGTCAAGCTGCACATTTTGATGCTTGTTAAAAACTGTGGAAAAAGAATGAAGCTAAATAATTTAATGAAAACAGATTAATAATCGTCAAATAAAAATAATCATGCTTCACTATATAGACAATAATCGTCAGCACTATAATAATAATGTTTAAAGTATTATGACCATGATCACATTTGTTGTCAGGTTCACTGGTCTATTTTTACATCCAGCAACTCAGTCCTCATGGACTTTCTTACATTTATCAAATCTTATATAACATTTGCATGAAGCTCTATATTTCATGCTGCCAGTGGGAATAAACTTATTGAAATCATTGCTTTGTATTAAAAATATTTTCTTCTTGGTTGAAGGGTGTGTGTAAAACAGAAAACAACTTAATACTGTCGCTGTGAACATTATGAATGCTTTCTAAACTTTGATACAACCACTCTGCAGCTTTACCACTGAGTCTCTTCTCAGCTAAATCTTTTAATTTTCAAGTAGCAAACAAATGTTACAAAGCACAAAAATGATAGAAATGTTGACTAAAATAAGATAACGTGTCTACAACTGGAAAGAGCTGGAGAAAGGTTAATTATGGAGTCATCTGGGTAGATTAAATCTTTTTGGAAAGCACAAACTGAAAGAAGGAAAATGAAAAAAGCTAGAAATGAGCATAAGAGCAGAAAGTCAGAGACATAGAGATTGAGTTTGGGACCTCTCAAAAGCATCCAGTGCTCATTAAAAAACAAGTAAGTTCTAAAGTAACCAGCATTTAAACATTTTATGCATGAAAATAAATGTTTTAAAAAATCTGATGTCATCTGCGTAAGAAATCATATGATACTGAATCAAAGTGATGAAACAGATGCTGAGTGCTGTGAATATCATGGTGACGGTGTTTTAATATTTATCCACCATGAGCGTGTAGTTTGTTGTTAAAGTTTCACATTTATCTTATTTGTATAGATTTCAGGAAATAATAAGTTTCATTTGTGATATGATTTATTTATTTAAACAAAGGTTGAACTTGTATTTTTAACAAAGTTCATCAGATCTCATAAATACAATTTTTTTTTAAATCCAGTACAAAAATAATCAAAGCATTTTTCAGGTTTGCATCAAACAACCAGAAACCAGCTGTCTGTAAGAGCCTGTGAACATTCTGACACCAGAGTAAACCTGTATGATCAGTTCAGAGCTCGTGTGTCATCACATGCATAGGTGTCGCATTAATTATATGTGACAGGGATGTGACCCCCTTACATTTAAAAAATGTTAATTTTGAAATATTAGTTCACCCAGCTCTGTTTCTATTGCTATGTGAACAAATCCATTCCACGAGAATAATCAAACCAGTAAAAGTCCTCTCCGGGTTTTCCTGGTTACCTACAACAACTCAACACAACGCATGCAGTGTTTCTCCTCTGTCACTTGCCTTGACATGGCGCTTATCTTTTTAGGGTTTTTTTGTTGATGGGGTGGGGGAGTAGGGGGAGACAGCTGTGTGCTAGCTTACCGCTACGTTAATGCCAGCAGTTATTGACTGGGGTGGGGGGTTAAGATGCATGAGAGAAGCAAAGCGCTACATCTGTAGCATCTTAGCTAGCTCATTGGTATTGCGTGCCGCTAGCTTAGCATTACGTTAGTGCTGGCAATTGTGAACTTTTTTTTTGGGGGGGGGGGGGGGGTGTTCAGGGCAAAATTAACACTTCACTGTACCCTGGGCAACAATCTTCAAGGGCCCAATAATCACGACCCCAAAATTTCCATAATCTGGCAAAATACACTTATACTTAAATTTCTAACTATCAAGTGTGTTTTTATGTATAAAACTCCAAATGCTCATTGACACAAATCATCAAGACCGAATTAAGTTGAACGCACTTTGAACACCACACGACACCATATGTGTACTTGTTTAGTAACATGTTGGACACTGGTGTCAGAAGCATTTATAATGTGTGTGTGGGGGGACACACACTGATGGGGAGGTCTGGGGGTCCTCCCCCAGAAAATTTTGAATAAAGTAGATGTCATTTCCTGCATTCTGGTGTATTTTAATGGTTGTTTAACATCTAGTTTTACCTACATAAGTAACACTGGGAATGCCTTGGGATTTCCCTGGAGGAGCTGGTCCAAGTGGCTGGGGAGAGGGAAGTCTGGGCCTCCATACTTAGGCTGCTACCCCCACGGATGGCTAGAAGTAAACACTTGATTCAATAACTATTTTAGAGCTAATGGCACAACAAGAAGTAGCCTGAGCAACAGCTGATTCAATTAATTAAAAATATATTCAAAGGTGACGATTCGATGCCCACATTAAAATTAAATGACTGTAACTGAGTTGACTTCAAATGTAATAAGATTATCAATGAAGGTTTGCAACAAAGGATTTATTGATTATAACAAAGATTCCTTCAAGAAACCTCCCAATATAAATCATAAAACCAGAATGATTTCTGCTCATTCTAAATTTGTCAAATGGCCTAAATCTCCTAAAGTGAAGGAGAATCATTTTAAAATAATATATAGGATATATCCTGTAGCCATGTTTCTGCAAAAAAGATTTAAATTTGAGGTTGATTCTTGTGTCTTCTGTAAATAAAAAGATGAATCCCTCGAGCATTTTTATTTTCACGTCAACACAAAGTCTTTGGTCAGACATCAGAAACTGGAATAATCTCAAATTTAACATTCCTTCTTTTTATGCTGATGACATTTTACTTTATGTGGATAACTGAAGCTCAGCTTTCTCTGATGCCATAAATATAGTCGTACTTATAGCAAAGTACCACATTCACTGTTGTAAGAGGAGAGATAATAAGTCCTCCTTCCTGTTTGATGAACTATTTTAAGTCATAATATTCTTCATTAAGTAGATTAAAAATCTGCAAAACTGCTAAAATCATCTCACAACAGATAAAACGTATTGTTTTAATCAAAACAATGTTTCTCAAGAAAAAAAACCTGATGAGCTTGTCAGCAGGTAAGGGGCGTTTACCTTCGGGACAAATTGAGGTTGTCGATTGGTCAGTTAATGACACGCCTTCTGAGTTGATTGACAGGTCGCGCCATAGAGGATCCAATTTTTTTTTTAAACGAGAGCTGCAGCAGCCGCCTGGGAGGAGGCGGGGCAGCCCAAATGCAGTGGAAGCGCAGAAGTCTGTGCAGCGCAGGGCTCCAAGTAAAGCAGGAGATAACCAGATATTTTGCTTGTGCCCTCACTGCCCTGGGCCCCTGAGAGATCATGGGCCCCTGGGCAGTTGCCCAGTTGCCCATATGGTTAATCCGGCCTTGGGGATGTTAGGATTTGTTAGAGAAACGAAGCGTGCTCTATTCACACAAGGAGAGCTGTTGGTCAGGTTACTTCTTGTTGTGCCATTAACTCTAAATTAGTTACTGAATCAAGTGTTTACTTATGTAGGTAAACTTAGATGTTTAGTAACTCGTTAAAAAACACCAGATGCAGGAAATGACATCTACTTTATTCTAAAATTTTCTGGTGGAGGATCCCCAGACCACCCCACCACCATCACCACCACCCCTACATTACAAATGCTTCTGACGCAAATGATCACACATGTGCTTCATCTCGTCTGTGTTGGCAGAGTTCAGCAGCTCTGACTGATGCTGCTGCCTCCACCTCCTCTGAGAGACAACTGATGGACCACTTCACCCTTCAGTGGAGGCGTTACGTCTCAACACACACACACACACACACACTACTGACACAGGGCCTTACCTGCACATTATAGCCATTAACGTCAAGACACACACCGACACGTTTGGGTCATGCTCAGTCATGCAGGACAGAGCAATCTCTGGCAGGCTGGCAGATCCTCATAGTCTAAGAAATCCTTTCATTTTACTCCTTTTTTGTGCACATATGTGAGCAC